TCCGGGTGCTTCGGCCGCAGCGCAGCTCAGAGCGCACTTGATTCAGGTCGGCTGCGGGGAAGGGCGGGTCTGGGGAGAAACGCGGGCGCCGGGTGTTCTCCGACCCCTCCTCCTCGCCCGGCAGATCCGTGGCTCGAGCCAGAGCGGCGCCGCCTCGAGCCCCCAGCCATGGCTTTTGCCAATTTTCGTCGCATCCTGCGCCTGTCTACCTTCGAGAAGAGAAAGTCCCGCGAATATGAGCACGTACGCCGGGACCTGGACCCTAACGAAGTGTGGGAGATCATGGGCGAGCTGGGCGATGGCGCCTTCGGCAAGGTTTACAAGGTGAGGGTGCCGAGTGGGCGGCCCGGCGCGTGGAGTGGCTCCGGGAGGAAGGGGCGCCTGCCTGAGTGAGTCCGGCCGCGGATCGGGAGGGCGCACACGGGTCCTCGGCTCCGGCCCCGGTGATCCCTGCGTTTTGGGGGAATCGCATTCTTACGGGTTAAGCGCCCCCTTTGGGCTCTGCTGTAGCTCCTGCCCCTGCTCAGTTTCTGAGCACTTCCTGTGCATCCGGCACTGTGCTCGGCGCCTCGGGGTGGGGTGGGGACAAAGGGACGCCTATGGGGCTTCTGTTTCCGAGATGGCCGGCCACTCGTGGCACTGACCATGTCACAGTGATACGAGGCATACTTTTAAAGCGAAACGACTCAGAGACCGTGGGAATCCCGAGGCGTCGGGGACAAAGTCGGTTGCGCCTGGGAAGGTTGGGAGTGCCTCACGCATCTGAAGATGTGGCAGGGACGGGGAACTGGGGGGCGGCAGTATGGCCCCTAGAGAGAGAGGTGACGCTTGGAAAGGCGGGCTGGGGCCAGGCACAGGGCGAGGCCAGGGTCCTGTGGATGCTGATCTGATTCTGTACCCTTGAGTCACGGTTGAGGAGGAGCCCGGTCTGCAGTCACCTATACCCTGGAGGAAGACGGGGCCGGTGCTTTTGTGGAGGGTTGGGTGGGGCCGCGAGGCGTTTGCTGCAGGACCTTGTCTGGTTTCTGCTCTAGTGAGCCAGTTCTGAGTGCCAGAGTTGGCTAGGGCACCTAAACATCTACAGTCTGACCCCCACCCTTTCCCCAATCCCTAATCTCCTTTCCTCTAAGAAACTTTTGAGTTGAAGTCTTGCTGTGTTGTCCGGGTAGCTTTCTAACTCCTAGGCTCCAGCCATCTCCCTGCCTTAGCCTCCTGAAGGGCAGCTGGGATTATAGTGGCCAGTGGCAAGCCATCACAACCCTCACTGGAAAGAAAACCCTTACTGTGAGACTCCCTCGTGTTCAGCTGGTGGGCCACCCTTGGAGGGCGCCTCTTTCCTAAACCAGCCTTCGCTTTTCTTGGGGCTTGTATAGATTGGAGGCCACTCTGACTCCAAAATTGCTTTTCAGGAGGCCAGGCAACAAAGAGGGCTGCTCCAGCCTTCCTTCCCTCGTCCTCTCCTCTGTCTCCAACAGGACCTGTTGTCTATGCCTTGAAATTGATCTAGAGCCTCCTTACCAAAGCGTGGTCCCCGGATTACAAGAATTAGCATCACCTGTGAGCTTAGACCTGCCCACCCCAGACCTGATGAATTAGCAGCATCTGTGTTTTAGCAGGATTCCAGGCGATTACTACGTAAATCCAAGTCAAAAGCTGAGGAGTTCTGCTCCAAAGGCATGGAGTGGTGTCAGTTTTGAGGCCAACCAGGCCGGTGTGTGTCTTTTGTTACTTTCACACCTCCCCCGCTGAGCCACCCCTTCCTGTTACAGGGCTAGGGCCCCTCACTGGAGCAAAAGTCTGTCGGTCAGAGCGTCCAGCTCCAGTGCGGTGCAGACTTGGTTTGCTGCTCCTCTCTGCCTGAGGGTGGTGCACATATTTGAGGACCCTTGGGCCAGCACATCCTTGACTTGCACATCTTTACTCCTCAGCTGCATCCTTCTAGTGGCACCAGAAAACCTAACATCCTGCCAGTGTCCTCACTTGCCTTGAGCCCTTGGTCAGCTCACCACCTAATCCACCTCCTCCAGAAGGCCCAGTGGTCTTGGTGCAGTGCTGTTGCGGCTTCATGGCTTTTCTCTGCTGGGGGCTTTTAGTTGCCTCCTGTCTGCTCCCCCTGTACCATGTGTCCTGGCTTCCTAGGGCTATTTTTGTTTAAACCTAAATATGGAACTTTGCTTTTATGCTGGTAAGAAGCCCCCTTGGCATTTTGTCATTTCAACCCACTGTAATCCAGTAAAACTCCCGTACTGCTCTGGCTTTCCCTACAAAAGAGATCCTCTGATCCACAAGTTATTTTATCTCCTCCTGGTTCTCGAGAGCATGTGGACTCTATCACAAAGGGACCGAAGCTTCCAAAGCTGTGAGCTGGCCCCTCCACAGCTACTCCCCCAGCTCAAACCCATGATTGTCTTGTGATTAAGACAAGGGAAGGCTAGGCCAAGAGAGGGCCAGTGCACCTGGACGTGTGTCCAGGCATGCGTCCGAGTCCCCTAACAACAGGCTCCACACAGAGGTAGTCCTTGGAGATGTGCACAGTGGTGGGGCACATCTGTAATCCCAACACTGTGGGAAGCTGAGGCAGGAGAATTTCGAGTTCAAGGCCAGCCTGGGCAACTTAGGCAAGGCCCTGTTTCAAAGTAAGATTAGCTGGGAATGGAGCTTAGTGGTAGAGGGTCCGTGGGTCCATTCTCAGCGCACGCACACACACACAGAGCATAGCACATGTAATGGTGTACAGTGGCAGTGCATAATAATAACAAATGACAACATTACTGGCTTATGTTTATACTATACACTACCTTTTATTGTTATTTTAGGGTGTGCTTCTATTTATTAAAAAAAAAATTTACAGTGAAACAGTCTGCCTTGTCATGCTGGCAGCAGTCTCATCCAATTTGTTATCTTGATAGAATCATTTTCTCTTGTGTTTGATTTAATTGAATGTTGTTTTGTTCCTTGCTGTGCCAGGAGTGATAGGCTATGCTGTGTATATCTAGGGTTTATAAAATATGGACAGCCTCGGTGGTAGCCTGGGTGTGTTGTAGATTATGCTATCTAAGTTTGTGTAAGTGCACTGTGATGTTTGCACAGTGACAAAATCACCTAATGATACAGCTATTGGAATGTGCCCCATTGCTAAGTGACACATGACTGTATCACCCACTTGGCCTCAGCATATGACTCTATTCTAACCAAGCATATATTTGTGTGGGGGTACTGAGGCCTGGGGCGGGGGCAGTCTAGACAAGACACTGGGATTCAGTGTAGCACTTTTTCCTTAGTTGGCACCTTGGGAAGACCCATCGTGGATCAAAGATCCCTGGCACCTGGGGTGCCTTCCTTTCAGAGACTGTGTTTACGAGCCCCTCATCAGTGAAGTTGAAGTAGGTTACGTGGGACCCAAGGACTGTGACTCCTGCCCACTTTTTGTTATCTGCGCTGGTTGCCAAGGCAGCACAGGTCAGAAATACCATTGCGGTTTTATGAATGGGATCAAAGAATCCATTTGGATGTGGTACCAGTGACAACAGTCGGCTGTGACCTGGAGAGACTGGCGTAGTGGGTTATCCGTCTGACAGTGGAGGTTGCTGAAGGCCTTCCTGGTGGCCTCGGAAAACTGTGAAGCCTTGGAAAGTCCAAGTTCATTGCCATCCTTGGGATAGCACTGATCCCAGATTTCCTGATGAGAATCATAAGAATCTCCACGATGCTGAGGCTTTTTTCCCTCTTCCTCCTGGTTCCATCTGCCTCACGAGGAAAAGAGGGTGGAATTGATGTATTCCAAAGCCCGGGTTATTCCACCCAGTTCCCGCCTGGTGGCAAGTTGGTTTCAAAAGAAAATCATTTCTAGTCCATTACTAGAATGCAGTGGTTTCAAAATTCTTATCACAGAACATCATCTTCGTGCTGGGGGGAGAGAGAGGAAGTGTTTCATGTGTGAAGTGGACACTGCTGCCTTCAGCACTGTGTCCACTGTTGGAAGCAGGGCCTCTGTCAGTTCTGTAGTAATGAAGAGGAATGGCTTGATAGGCTGGGATTATTTTTCTGCTTTCTGAAAATTTCTGTCTCTCATCTTTGTTTTCTTTGAACATTTAAAAGGTTATTTTGCAAATTCAGGATGATACAGAAGATATCAAATCTAAAAATAAAAAAAAAAATTCCCCCAAGTTCCACCAATTCCCCTTGACTACCCCCCCCCCCCGCTCCAGTGCTGGGGATGGAACCTGGGGCCTCTTGCATGCCAGGCAAGTGCTCTCTCTACTCCTGGCCTCACCCCAGCCTATATGTTTTGTTTTGGAGGCAGAGTTTCTTTTTTTTTTCCTCATTGAGTTCATTGGTACATTTTAGGTAAACAGTATAGTTACATTCATTGTTGGGGTCTTGTACTTATGGAGGCAGAGTTTCAAACTGAGGAGATCAAGTGATCTTTCTGTCTTAGCTTCTTGAGTAGGTGGGACTACAGATGAGTGTTGTAGTCAGGGTTTTGGCGAGAGACTACATTTACTACAGGACACATAGTTCAGAGGATTATTTTATAATTACCCAAAATGTCAAATGCAAAGGGGTGCAAGAGATTATCCACACACTAGGGGCCCAAAGAATCCAGCCAAGGGCCTGGATCCCAGCAGTGTATAGCACAAGTCCAGCTAAAGGCCTAGAGTCCAAGGCAGTGTCCTCCACGAGTCCATCCAGTGGCCTAGAGCCCACGGCAGTGTCTCATGCTTGTCCGATTGAGGGTCTGCACCTGGAAGGCCCAAAGGTGAATGGTGGAAGCCAGAAAATCCATGAGATGGAGGATTTGTGTCACCAAGTTGAGGGATCCACATTGGACCCAGGAAGTGATGCTCATGGAAAAGATCAGAGCTCCCCTGATGAAAGCAGCAGCCATTCCCAGTGACAGTGAGGCCCCGAGCTCCTCCAATGAGAACAGGCTAGTTTGCATCAGGAAAACCACTTAGCAAGCTTCTCCTAGAAAATCAACAGGCCTGTTCCCCTCCAGTTTTCTTTTTATGGTTTTTGGTAACAATCTTCAGGTGGATCCTCTACGCCCAGACCACTCTGATTCAGTTCATCTTGGGCATTACAAGTTGATCATTAGTTAATCCACTACACTGTTGCTTTACCTGATTGTCTTTTTTTTTTTTAAACTATTAATGAGTTAAAATTGATTAAATGCCTGTCTTGAGCCAAGCACTGTAATGGGCACTTTGAGTGCTTTTTTCTTTTTCTTTTTCTTGAGACAATATTTTACTATGTAGCTCAGGCTGGCCTTGCACTGACAATCTTCCTGCCTCAGCCTCCCAAGTGCTGGGATTACAGGTGTT